AGTTCCAGGCAGCAGCAGGCCAGATGCCAGCCACCACGAAGCAGGTCCGGTTGGCCCAAGCGGTTCACCAGTGGTTAGGGTTCCGGCCCGCAGCAGCCAGGCATTGCAGGCGTCGCAGTAGGTGGTAGGGGATATATATTTCCAGCAGGAGCACGCGCGGCAGTGGTTAGACGAGGAATTTGGGGAGCAGGAGGCGCGGCAGTGGCAGGATCGATGTTATATATGCGCGATGGCACAGCGCGATGACCAGCATGATTTATATTCATGCAGGCATGCCAGCAGCCAGGCGGCAAAGCAGTGGATGGTGCAGGTACGGCGGCGGATCCGGTACGCGCGGTACATTGGTTGTTTCACATTCGGGATGCCCCAGACGATATGCCACGGGTGGAAGGGAGGGGGTAGGGGGGCCATGGGGTGCGAGTTCCGCGGGGTGTTAATCCCCATGGTGGCGTCCATGTTGCATGGGCCATGGGGGACAGCCATGCAGGCAGCATGGCAGCGGCGGTTGCAAGTAGTTAGGGTGGACAGCCAGGACGCAGAAGCAGTTACCAAGTGGTTAGGGCAGCGCAGTACGCATGGGCGCAGCGAGTTATTTGAGAGTTTTTGTTGGTTGCGCGGGGTGAGCCAGGAGGTGGAGGGGGAGAAGAATATATAAGTATTATATGATTTTAATGTGATAGTAGTACACACACACATATATATATATATATATATATATAATGAATTATCCATGTAAAGGCATATATATATATTATAGATGGTAGGTATAAAGGTAAGGAAGTAGGGGCAGGTATATAGGCGGGCAAGTAGGTATATATATATAGATATAGGGAGACATGTAGGTAAGCAGCATGCCCATGGTAGTTATAGATATTAGTGTTATATGCCCAGCGTGCCCGTGGTGCCCGTGGTGGGTAGATATTAAGTGTTTATATACCCGGCGTCCCCGTGGTAGTAGGTGATATTAAGGGTTTAAATGCCCGGCGTGCCCGNGATGGGCAGCGACGAGTTATTATACAAGGACGTGCATTTCACCATGGGCGCGTTCCGCGGCTTCATTCATGGCTTGGTGGGATCGGCGCGCGAGCTGCTGCGGGAGGTATTATATATATCCCCAACCACAACCACCACCACCACCACCAGCAACACCAATTTCCCCCCCATCCCATGGTCCGGATTGTACGACGACCCCACGCAGGGCCAGAAGGGGTGGTGTTTTTTGCAGGATACCCGCACGCGGTGGCCGGTAGATAGGAAACAGTGGTTGGTGCAGCGGCTGCGCAGCGAGCCTGCCATGCAGCGCTAGTTCATGCGCCGTGGCCAGATGCAGGCCTAGCTAGTGGCGCAGTATTTAGCCCGCGTGGCCCGGTTCAAGGAGAAGCTAGCAGTGGCCATTCACATCACAGGTGGCCAGCCCGCGCGGGCGCCTAACCCAGGGGACGTGGCCGGTCGCAGGTGCGACCGGATTGGGGTTCCAGATTTCTGCACCGCTGATTGGCCAGATGGACCCCACTTGAACATGCGACCGGATTGCCAAAGTCGATGTGACCGTTGGTGCGGATAGCGTCGTGGCGGGCCAAAAGTTAGCCTGGCTGACTAGGCGGGGAGTTAATTCATAGGAAAACCAGGTTTGAAGCTTACCAGGCCAGGATCAAGCGTGTGGTGGTGGTTTAAAGATGACAGGTTTTTTAGGGTCCCATGAGGTGTAAGGGGCGGGTAGGCGGGCGTACCGCGTATTATACTATAGGAAGGAAGGAAGGAAAGAAAAGGGCGGGGATAGAAGAGGGGGATTAAGATAGGATAGGCTATAATACCGCGCCCGCTCCCATGGAAACCAGGCATAACTTTACTTTTTTTTAGAGTATATATATACTAACATTAGATAAATAAATATTTACCTATTACCACCCTAACCCACCACCACCACCACCACCACCACCACACCACCATCCAGCTTATACGCATTTATTGTATTTTATTTTAACTACAACCCACCACACAAGACCTGCTCGTCCCGTCTAGTGTAGGTGTAGTTTAATTATCTAGCCAGGCAATCCAACCGCCCATGTGCCACCTAGTCATCCATGGAGGAGGCAGTATTCGAGCGCATCCCCCGCTTGCGTATTATTATTTTTCGCCAGTGCCAGTACGGCGTACGACCCGCGGACGTGCCACGCCATTTAAAGCAGCAGCACCAATACAGCCACCAGGCCGCTTGCCAGGTTGCCGACGCGGTGCGCCAATGGGAGGATATCGAGCAGGATAGTGATTCAATCCAGGTCCCCCGCCAGCTGGAAGCACCCCTGCCCATCATCCCATGCCACGTGGGAGGGTTATTATGCCAGCGGGGTCCCCCGCAGTGCCAGTACGTGGCATGCAACATGGACGCCATGCGCAAGCACTGGCGCACCATCCACCAGTGGTCCCAGCAGACGCGCGCGGGCCGCGTGGGCCAGAGGGAGCGGGCGCGCGGGCAGGCAGAGCTAGCCCGGTCATTCACGCGCGTGGCGTGGCAGCAGGTGTTCCCCACGCGCAAGGGTTCGCATTACATCCACATTAAATACCCAGACGGCCGCCCAAGGAGCCCGCTGCCACCCGCAGAGCAGGCCCAGCAGGCTGTGGATGCCATGGTCATTGCATGGGAGCAGGCGCGCGCGCAGGCCGCGGAGCAGGCCACTATCCAGGCGGACGAGGCGGCTGATGCCAACCCGTGGCTGCGCATGACAGGGTGGGCGAGGTATTTAGACGGGGTGCACCCGCAGGATTTGCGCCAGCTAGTGGAGGCGCCCGTGGAGGCGGAGGCAGAGGTGGTGGAGGTAGATATAGCAAGGGATCCCAAGGCGGATCCCACTGAGCAGGGCGTGCGGGTGATTTGGGACGCCATGGACCAGCTGGCGCGGCGGAGCCAGCGGACCGTGCAGTAGTGTGGCGCGGGCATCCGCGTGGAGGCGGCCCGTACAGAGGCGGGCCAGACGCCATACAAGCCACTGCAGGCGTACATGGACGAGGCGAGCATTGAGAAGCACGTGCAGCCATGGCAGCAGGTGTTGGCATTCATCGCGCGCACGCAGGCTACCCAGGCAAGCCCGAGCCAGGATGATGATGATGGTGGTGATGATAGCAGTGGCCGTGGCCAGGGTAAGTAGCTTGGGAGGTTGCCCGCGTATGGGATGACCCCGCGGCAGCGCCAGAAGTGGCAGGCGTTATGGCAGCTGGCCATGCCAGCCCCAGAGAGGCCCAATGCCGAAGCTGAAGCCCATGCGCGCGCCCGAGCCAGGCCAGGGATTAGGGTTGTACACACGTTCGCTGGGGCAGGCCAGATCATTGAGGACGTGTAGAGTGCCAGCCCCAGCGCCAGCCCAGGTAGCAGCCCAGCCGCGATGGATACGGACGAGGAGATGGATGATGAGGAAGGGGTCGAGGCTGTAGATGCCAAGGTAGAGGCGTGGCGGATGACCCCCATGGAGCAAGCATGCTTAGAGTTTTACATTGAGCTGATGAACCAGCGCCACCGCACGCACGAGTACGAGAGCGCGCTTGTGTGCGCCATGGCCGTGCAAGGGTGGGGCGAGGCGCGCTGGCGCGATCCTAGCAGTTACCCGCCCATATTATCCCGCGTGCTCAAGGTGGCGCGCTTCATGGTGGTGTAGAAGGCGTTGTGGTTGGATCCCCATGCCAGGGAGATCATCCGCATGTGGACGGGCCATCAGCAGCCAGGTAGCGGTGGCAGCAGCAGCAGCCCCATTGCATGGCCGTTGACCAGCGCGGACGACCAGCTGGTGGATATCCATGCAGGGGATGCGCCCATCATAGGATCGCCATCAGCATCGCCACCAGGATCAGGATCAGGATCAGGATCAGGGTCAGGGTTAGGTGGGAAGCTGTTCCACGACCACGTCCAGCAGATGGTGCGTAGCTTCATGATCCGCGGCACGCATGGCCCCATGCAGACGTTGCTGGATTGGCGCACGTACGGGATGAAGGTGGATTTCAACACCACCAGGCCAGGGCACGTGGGATGGATGGGCAGCGACGAGCTGTTGTACAAGGACGTGCATTTCACCATGGGCGCATTCCGTGGCTTCGTGCATGGTTTGGTGGGATCGGCGCGCGAGCTGCTGCGGGAGGTATTATATATATCCCCACCCAGCACCACCACCACCAGTACCAGTAATAGTAACACCACCACCAGTTTCCCACCCATCCCATGGTCCGGATTATACGACGACCCCACGCAGGGGAAGCAGGGGTGGTGTTTTTTGCAGGATACGCGCACGCGGTGGCCCGTGGAGGGTAGGCAGTGGTTAATCCAGCGGCTGCGTAGCAAGCCCGCCATGCAGCGCCAGTTCATGCGCCGCGGCCAGATACAGGCCCAGCTGGTGGCGCAGTATTTGAGCCGCGTGGCCCGGTTCAAGGAGAAGCTGGCGGTGGCCATCCACATCACTGGTGGGCAGCCAGCGCGGGCGCCCGAGCTGTTAAGCATCCAGCATGTTAACACGCAGGCCAGCCGGCACCGGAACATATTCATTGAGGATGGGATGGTGACGGCAGTGACGGCGTACCACAAGGGGTTCCACGCGAGCAATGACATCAAGTTGATCCACCGGTACATGCCCCGCGCGGTGGGGGAGTTGGTCGTGTGGTACATGTGGTTGGTGTTGCCGTTCACAGAGCAGTTGACCGCGTGGCAGGCGGCCCAGCAGCAGCAGCAGGCAGGCGGCACCGCGGGGTTAGGGTTAGGGTTAGATGGCGATGGCAATGGGCAGGCCCCAGCTCGCCAGCCCAGGGTAGGGTTAGCATCCCCATCGTCCCCAGCCAGCACGGCCGCCATAGCAGCAGGATCAGGGTTAGGGTTAGCCAGCCCATATTTATGGGGTCCCGATGCTGGCACGCAGCGCGCGTGGACGCCCGACCGGTTCCGCGAGGTGTTGAAACGGGAGACGCAGGCGCGGTTAGGCCAGGCGTTGAACATCCCCGCGTACTGGGACATTGCCATTGGGATCAGCCGGCGGTTCATGCGGGCGGGCTGCGCGTTCACGAGCGACGTCCATGACGAGAAGGAGCAGCAGGCGGCCGCTGCCATGGTGTTAGACGCCGACCAGGAGGAGGGCATGGACGCGGAGCAGTGGATGGCGCACATCACGGATCTGCAGGCGGCGCATTCGTCGCACGTGGCCGGCATGGTGTACGGGCGCCAGATCATGGAGCAGGCGGGCACCACCAGCCACCGGCGGGCCATGTTCCGGCAGTCCAGCGTGGAGTGGCATGAGTTTTTAGGGTTCCCGCGGGAGGAGGAGGACGGTCATAGTCACCACCACCACCACCCCCCCGCAGGCCAGGCGGCGGCCGGCGCCCCGAGCGGTTCGCAAGCAGTTAGGGTTAGGGTTAGCCCGCCAGACAGTACCCCAAGCGGCTCGCAAGCAGTTGGGGTTAGCACCCAGCCGCCAGGACATGGAGATATTAGGGTTAGGGTTCACCCGCCCGCCGTATTAGGCAAGCGGAAGCGGGCACCGTGGCGGGCCGAGGCTGAGGAGCACCAGTGGGAGCGACGGCAGCAGCTGCAGACCATGGACATGACCGCCGCGATGCAGCAGATGACCGGGCAGGCCCGCATGCAGTTCCGCGGCGTGCAGGCCAGCGCCATGGCCGCCATCCAGCAGGGCCGCAGCCCGGTGGTGGCCATCATGCCCACGGGGGGTGGCAAAAGCATGTTATTCATGTTGCCCGCGTGGGCCGTGCCCGGCGGCACCACCATCGTGGTGGTCCCGTTGATATCGTTGCGCCAGGACATGGCGCGGCGGTGCCGGCAGGTTGGGGTATCATGCGTGGCGTGGGACCGGCAGCGGCCGCCCGACGAGGCCGCCATCGTGTTGGTGACGCCCGAGTCCGTGGTGACGAGCGATTTCTAGTCGTTTATCAACTTGTTGGTAATGATGCGGCGGTTGGACCGCGTGGTAGTGGATGAATGCTATATTATCATGAACCCGCAGAGGGATTTCCGGCCAGAGATGGCCCAGTTAGGCCAGTTGGTACGCGCGCGCACGCAGATGGTGTATTTAACCGCCACGTTCCCCCCGCAGATGGAAGGCGAGTTCAGCCGGCGCATCCATTACCCGCGCGACCAGATATATATATATCGCGCACGCACCAGCCGCCGCAACGTGGCGTACCGCGTGTGGCGGCCCGCGGTGGGTAGTAGCCCGTACCAGTGGCAGCAGGATCCCGGTATCATCGCATTCATGCAGGCGCGCATCCAGCAGGCGCGGCGGGCCGGTGGTGGGAAGGTGGTGATATACGCTAACGCCATACGGCAGGTGCAGGCCATGGCTGAGATATTCTGGGGCGAGGCGTACCACAGCCAGCAGGTGGACCGCGCAGGGGTGTTGGAGCGGTTCATCCAGGGCACCACGGGCGTGATCGTGGCCACCAACGCGTTGGGCATGGGGGTGGATATCCCTGACATCCGGGTGATCATCCACATTGGCGCGCCGCGGACGTTGTTGGATTACGCGCAGGAGAGCGGCCGGGCCGGGCGGGACGGGCAGGCCAGCGAGGCCATCATCATCCAGCCAGAGGGGATGGACGCGCAGGGTCGCGGCGGCGCAGGTGGTCACCATCCATGGGAGGAGGCGGAGGACCAGGATGAGGATCAGGATATGGAGGCACAGCGGGTGCAGAGATACATGCAGGCGGGAGGGTGCCGGCGGGTGGTTTTAGACGAGTATTTAGACGGGATCATTGATGGATATGAGCGGCAGCGGTGTGGGGATGCCCCAGCAGAGGCAGGGCAGGAGGAGCAGGCGTGTGACCGATGTGATCCCGGTTGGCAGGCCCAGCATGCGGCCGGCACCAGCACCACCAGCACCACCAGCAGCAGCGGTTCCCAGGCAGTTCAGGTTCGGGTTTGGAAGGAGGCACCAGCGCGCGGGCCCGCGCAGGCCACCACGCCGCCAGCAACCCAGCCAGGGTTAGGGTTTAGAGAGGATAGACAGGGTGTTAGACCAGGAGATGATCGCCCCGCGAGCAGTGGATCCATCGTTAGCCAGATTAGATACGAACCACCACCACCACCACCACCAGGGGCAGAGGCAGAGGCAGAGGCAGCCGCCATGGCCGCCATAACACCACCAGCCAGCGCGGAAGCATTGGGGCTAGGGATCAGATCAGTTCCAGGTAGCAGCAGGCCAGATGCCGGCCGCCATGAAGCTGGTGAGGTTGGCCCAAGCAGTTTAGCAGTGGTTAGGGTTCCAGCCACTAGCAGCTAGGCATCGCAGGCGTCGCAGTGGGCGGCAGGGGATATATATTTCCAGCAGGAGCACGCGCGGCAGTGGTTAGACGAGGAATTTGGGGAGCAGGAGGCGCGGCAGTGGCAGGATCGATGTTATATATGCGCGATGGCACAGCGCGATGACTAGCATGATTTATATTCATGCAGGCATGCCAGCAGCCAGGCGGCAAAGCAGTGGATGGTGCAGGTACGGCGGCGGATCCGGTACGCGCGGTACATTGGATGTTTCACATGCGGGATGCCCCAGACGATATGCCACGGGTGGAAGGGAGGGGGTAGGGGGGCCATGGGGTGCGAGTTCCGCGGGGTGTTAATCCCCATGGTGGCGTCCATGTTGCATGGGCCATGGGGGACAGCCATGCAGGCAGCATGGCAGCGGCGGTTGCAAGTAGTTAGGGTGGACAGCCAGGACGCAGAAGCAGTTACCAAGTGGTTAGGGCAGCGCAGTACGCATGGGCGCAGCGAGTTATTTGAGAGTTTTTGTTGGTTGCGCGGGGTGAGCCAGGAGGTGGAGGGGGAGAAGAATATATAATTATTATATGATTTTAATGTGATAGTAGTACACACACACATATATATATATATATATATATATAATGAATTATCCATATAAAGGCATATATATATATTATAGATGGTAGGTATAAAGGTAAGGAAGTAGGGGCAGGTATATAGG